TTGAAGAGCAAAATTTCTTAGAAAAGCTGGGGTGAAATTTGATGTGTATTGTGCAAGTGATTTTCTTTTGTTATGAACTACATAAATGATTTAATGTATAATTGTACTACGCACACAGAATGGTGGTTTACCATAAGAACATTTAATGTTTCACTTCATAAATAGTATCATTAGCTACTGATAATATTTTCTGACTGGTTATAAACACTCAGTGTGTTTTTTTAAATATAATAATACAGTTTTGGGACTAGAAGAGCTCTTCAGAAAGTCCTTGAGAATATGTATTAGGAAAAACTGCATAGATTTCAAGAAAGTTTTTTGCACCAAAACTGATTCATGCTTTTTTTTTTTTTTTTTTTTGACAGACGGAGTGGACAGTGAGAGAGAGAGAGAGAGACAGAAAGGTCTTCCTTTGCCATTGGTTCACCCTCCAATGGCCGCTGCGGCCGGCGCACTGTGGCCGGCGCACCACGCTGATCCGATGGCAGGAGCCAGGTACTTATCCTGGTCTCCCATGGGGTGCAGGGCCCAAGCACTTGGGCCATCCTCCACTGCACTCCCTGGCCACAGCAGAGAGCTGGCCTGGAAGAGGGGCAACTGGGACAGAATCCGGCGCCCTGACAGGGACTAGAACCCAGTGTGCCAGCGCCGCAAGGCGGAGGATTAGCCTAGTGAGCCGCAGCGCCGGCCTGATTCATGCTTTTTTTAAAAACATGTCTGAGTGGATTAAAGTTAGAGACACTGAAAAGCTATAGCACAAATTTGAAAAAATCCACTATCAGAGAGAACAACATTAATTCTGCTAAAATTAAAGGAAGAACAAGCATCATATTTATTGTAAAGCCTATAGAGAAGAGTGGCTGAATTACTGAAGCTTTGACAATATTCCAAAGAAACAGCAGTTTGCAGTTTGTTTTAAGAAGGAACAAGACAATGATGAGAAATAAATCCAAAGGGGCAGACCACCTATCTACATAATTTATGACTAAAAAATTAATCTTGTTCATGCCCTGATTGAAGAGTACTGATGATTAAAAAAAAATAATAAACCAATACCATAAACATTGCAAAGGTCCAGTGGTTACAATTCTGACTGAAAAATTAAAGTGGAGCAACCTTGCTGCCCCATATGTGCCCAAACTGTTCCATCTAGATTAGCTGCAAACAAGAGTGAAACCCTCAACACAAACCTTAAACAAATCAAATCAAGATTCGGAAGCATTTCTCCCAAAAATTGTAACAGGAGATGAAGTACGGCTTTACCATTATGATAGTATAGACAAAGCAGAGTAAAGCAATGGCAGTGACAGCCACATGGTGGAAGTGGTCCTGTTAGAGGAAAAGTGGACCAGTCAAGAACAAAAGTCTTGGTGACAGTTTTTTTTTTGGATGTCCAAGGCGATTTGTTTGGTAATTTTCTGGAGAGCCAAACAGCAATAATATCTGCTTCCTGGAAGGTGTTTTGAAAAGTTTCCTGAAGTTTTAGCAGAGAAACGCCTGAGAAAGCTTCCTTCAGAGAGTCCTTCACCACAACAGTCCTGCTCATTCCTCTCCGCACACAGGATGCTTTGCTCGAAGTTAGATGGGAAATCAGGAAGCAGCCAGCTTATAGTCCCGATCTGGCTCATTCTGACTTCCTTTTCTCATGCAATTCAGAAATCTTTAATTTTGTCAGTTAGTAATGAAAAATGACTGTGCTTGGTTGCTTAAACTCCCAGAGGCCTTGGTTCTTCAGTGATAGCTGGTATCATCTTGAGCTTGATGGAACTTATGTTGAAAAACAAAGTTACTTTTTTGCTTGAAATTTTAACTCCCTTTTTCCACATGGTTTGCAGTCCCTACATGTTTGTAAAGGGAATTTTGGCAATTTCTACCAAAATTACATCTGCATTTATTCTGCAACCCAGCAATCTAATTCATAGACATGTATCTCAAAGATACACTAGGAAAAAGTTGAAAATACACAGAAGAATGTTTTTAATAGCACTGTTTATAAATCTAAGATTATATGGCCGGCACCGTGGCTCAGTAGGCTAATCCTCCACCTGCAGCGCCGGCACACTGGGTTCTAGTCCCGATCGGGGTGCCGGATTCTGTCCCAGTTGCCCCTCTTCCAGGCCAGCTCTCTGCTGTGGCCCGGGAAGGCAGTGGAGGATGTGCACCCCATGGGAGACGAAGAGAAGCACCTGGCTCCTGGCTTTGGATGAGCGCAGTGCGCTAGCTGCAGTGCGCCGGCCACAGCGGCCATTGGAGGGTGAACCAATGGTAAAGGAAGACTTTTCTGTCTGTCTGTCTCTCTCTCACTGTCCACTCTGCCTGTTGAATAAATTGTAGGTTATCCACCATGAAGTATTATGTAGTTGTTAAAAAGTAAGAGAAATACCTCTGTCTATGGACATGGAGGTTTATACAGGGTAATTTGTTTAGTGAGAAGAAAGTGTAAACTAAATGTTTAGCAGGTTACTATTTATATAAGTTAAGATGGGGATACAAATAAATATATACATACAAATATGCTTATTGTACATAAATTATATATACTGTGGTTTTTAAATAATTGATAGCAAAAGGTTAAGCTGGAGATTCAAGGAATGTGTCTTTTTTTTTCTAACCTGTATATATTTGAAAGGCAGGGTTAGAGTAGGGGAGAGAGAGAGAGACAGAGAGCACTTCCATCCACTGGATTACTCCCCAAATTATCACAATGGCTAGGGCTAGACCAGGCCAAAGCCCAGAGCTTCTTCACCCATGCAGAGCTGGGCCAGAACAAGGCCAGGAGCTTCTTTACCCATGTGGGTGGCAGGGGCCCAAGGACTTAGGCCATCCTCCACTGCTTTTCCAGGCATATTAACAGGAAGCTGGATTGGACATGGAGCAGCCAGAATTAAACTGGTACCCAAATGGGATGCTGGTACTGCAGATGGCAGCTTAACCGGCTGTGCCACGATGCCGGCCCCTGTGTTTTATATTTTTACTTTAAAACCATGTAAAAATTTTGCATAATATAAGTAACTAAGTATGAGAAAATAAGACCAGTTGATAACAGAAAAAATATTCCCATAACGTCTTTAATTAAAAGGGTAATGGTTGATATGACTAATATGTAGAAAATAAAAATTTAGTAATACCATCTAGTATAGGATGAATTGTGCCCCCAAATTGAGATGTTGAAATTCTAAGCCCTAGTATCCCAGAAAATGAACGTTTTGGAGATAAGGCTTTAAGGAAGTAATTAAGTTAGAATAAGGTCATCAGAGCAAACTCTAATCCATAGGACTGCATAGGAAGAGTAAATTAGGATACTGAGATACTGATCTGAAGAGAGGGAAATCCATGTGAAAAAATGGGGGCAAGATGGCCATTCAGAAGACAAGAACAAAGACCTCATGAAAAAAGAAAAAGAATCAGTTCTGCTAACAGCTAGACCTGGGATTTCTCTCGAATATTGAGGAAATGAATTTTTGTTTTTGAAGCCCCCAGCTTGTGGTTCTTTGTTAAAGCAGACCTAACCAGTTAATATGCCATGTTAAATGTAAGCTAAACCCAGAATCATCTTGCCAAAAAGTTGAATCAGGGATATGAAAACATTTGGGACCTATTCAATATTCTTAAAAGGACAAAACAATAGAACAAGAAAGGAAAATATATAGATCTGTATCTTCTATACCTATGACAAATTGAAGTGAGCCACCATATCCATTCCCTTTCCCTCCATCCACCCCACAAAAATTTATAAGAGAAGAAAAGCTTAATAAAGGGAATGTTTTTTCAAAGGTAATTTACAAATCATAGATGAAAATTAATATATTAGTAAGTAATTATGTTAGTTCCCTGTGATTGATGTCGTAAAGTTCCATGAACTAGATGGCTGCAAAGAACAGAAATTTATTTTCTCACACTTATGGTGACCAGAAGTCCAAAATCAAATTGGTGACAAGGCCAGGTTCGCCCTGAACTCTTTCATGCCTGCCTTCAAACTTTAGACAGCCTTAGATGCCTCACTGTTCTTCAGTCTTCCACATGATGTTCTTCATGTGTGTCTTTGTTATCTTACTACTGTATCTCTGTCTCTGTGTCCCTATTTCCTCTTTTCATGAAGGCACAAATATTATTGGATTAGGGACACTCTGTGACATCCTTTAAAACTTGATTAGCTTTGTAAAGATCCTATCCCCAAATAAGGTCATATTCTGGGGTGCTGGATGTTAGGATTCAACATAGTTATGGGGGCGGGGCAAGCAGAAGAAGGGTAGCCTTCTGTTCAAACTATAACATTAATATACTAAAAAGTTAGCAATATTAATCTCTCTGTCATTGTTACTTTTTTTTCCTAAACTTTTCTTTGTTTTCCACCATGGGCATGTATGGCTTTTATAATCTGAATAGATATTATGTAAAAACAAGTTAACCAAAGAGGCAGAAACCAAAAACCCTTTAGTAAAAGTCTTTTCTGAATTATTCTCTGAATTAGCTCCAAGTTTTTATGTTATGTAATTCTGTTTGGTTTAAATTATTTTCTGATTCAGCACGAGTCCATTTGCATTAATGTAACATTTAGCAATCTGTCATCTGCATAATTATACATCTGTGATTATAGGTAGGATAGGAAAAAACTCCCATCTCTGAATTAAAATAGTTTCTTACCATTTGTCAACTGTGGAGAGCAGACTGGAGTTTTGGTAAGAGCAAGACAATATGAAAAAACAACCTTTCAGGAATAAGTATATGTACATTGGGTACACGATCAGTTACCCTTAAGTTCTGAGTCCTAGGGCCATCAAAATTTTATCACACATTAAGGGAAAGAAAGAGAGAAATATACTTACTAGACTTCTATGCAGAATATCTTTTTATTTTAATCAAACACTAACCTTTTAATTGATTTTCTATGCTATTATGTCATTGGCTACTGTTTTTAAGAGTCAAATGTGGTTTTTATAAAATTTTAAATAAGCTAACTTCCTCCTCTTCTTCTTCTTCTTTTTTTTTTTTTTTTTCAGATTTGCCTGCAATGGATAACTCAGTGTTTTTGGAATTATTTAGATTGGATAGAAATTTGCCATTATATTGCTACTTGTGTTTTCCTTGGTCCTGATTATCAGGTGTATATCTGTATAGCTATATTCAAACATTTACAACAAGATATTCTACAGCATACTCAGACTCAAGATCTGCAAGTTTTCCTAAAAGTAAGTGTGGGAATTATTTAGATTGCAATTAACAACTAATTTTGAGTACTTAATGTCAGATACTTTCCTAGACACTCATCCATCCTACAGAAACACTGAAAGTTGGGTGATATTAGCATCCCTGTTTTAGAGATGAAGAAACTGGGGATGGAGTTAAGTAAGTTGCTGACAGGTGAACAGCTAGAGTGAGGCTGAGATAGTAAACTGTCTGGATCTAAAACTTTGTTTTTAATCAGTATACTATGCTGAAAGTCATTTATATATACACTATATATAATATACATTCTATGTTTTATCTATGTGTGCTTTATATATATATATTCTACATACTGTTAGACCAGTAAAAGTGAATTTTTTTTGTTTTAGTATAGAGGTTCTTATGTTGGAGGTTTGTTTCCATGTGACAGCAGTAAGAAGTGGAGGCTAATAGGAGGTTCTTAGATCATGGAGAGCTTGCCCTCAGGAGGAATTCAGGTAGCAGTCATGAAACTCTGAATTAGTTCTTGCATGAGCAAGTTGTTAATAACTGTGAGCCCAACACCTGAATCCCCTTACTTGCTCTTTGACTTTTCTGCTGGGTAATGGGCTCTTTTGTTCTGCCTTTATGATAGTGTCCAACATGAGTCCATCACCAGAGCTGAGCTCCATTCTTTTTGAACTTTCAGAACTGTGAGCTAAATAAACCTGCCTTAGGTATTTCATTGTGGTAATGGAAATATAAATTTTTCTAAACTTCTAATTTTATGAAGGTTTCCATGAAAGATAATTCTCTTTTAAAATTATTTTATACATTAGTATACATATTGCATACATATTGCAAAACCAATATTTGTCATTTGTTGGGTTTTCTTTAGGTTAACAAATAGTTTCTAAGTTAATTTTATTCTTTACTATTAGATGCTTCCCAAAATTATTTTCCTTTGATAATATTTTTCTTTAAATAAAAGCCATTCATTTAAGATTCCCAACCTGTAAAGCACTTTTATTTTATAAATGCTAAATTGAAAGGATTGTCAACTTCCTACTTGTATCACTAGAATTATAATCTTAAAATATTCCTTTTTAAAAATTTTTTTAAAATTATTCTTTGAGAGTCAGAGTCATAAATAAGGCTCTCATCCAATGATTCACTCCCAAAATGGCTGTAGCATATGGATCTGGGCTGGGTCCAAAGCTGGGAGCTACAAACTTAATCCAGGTCTCTTGTGTGGGTAGTAGGAACAAAATTACTTGACCCATCACTTCTACCTCTCGGGATCTTTACTGACAGGAGCTGGAGCCAGGTGTTGAAGCCAGATGCTCCAGTGTGGGATACAGGCATCTTAACTGGCATCTTAGCCACTAGGCTAAATGTCCAACCCTAGCATACTCTCATTTTTAATATTTCTAAGACAGTGGTTCCACTTGTGTAAGGAAAACTAAGGTAGAAAGAGAAATGATCTTTCAAAGAAAAGAATTCTCAGAGGAAAGGAGGATTAAGTAAATAGGAATAAAGGCAAAATATGGATTCATTTTTGGTAGATGATATTTTCTTTCCTTTTTTTTTTTGTTTGGTGGAACTTCTAAATACAGACCATTTAATAGCTTCAAAGCTATCCAAGACATACATCTCTTGTTAAAGGCCTCCACCAGTCTAAGTCACTTTCCCACATGCACCTCACCCAACATTTATCCTTATTCTTAGTTCTTCTTTACTCATTTATAGGTTGCCAATTTAAAGCTGAATGACTTAAACATGGCCAAGCTGAATTAACACTCACAGATGCGTAGCACCTCGCAACCCCAATCCACACAGTCATGTAAAGTGGGGTGGCCATGACTGTGTATTCAAGATCAAGGTTTAACTTACGTGGATATGCTTTCTCTGCCAGGGAAACACTGTGGCAGTACACACTTGATACTTGGTATACAGCGCCCACAAAACCCCCCAACCTGCTATATATAGCATAAATTTCAAATTTACTTGTTCAGAGGTTAATTTTTTCTTCAACCCTTAAAGTCTACACTCCTTTGATGGGAGTCTAGGCTGTGGGACAGCATCAGCAAGTCTAAGTCAAGATGGTGGTGTGTGGTCCTCACCGACTTCACAAGATCCATTTCTGACCACCTTGCTGTTGCTATTTTGCAACTCACACAACAAGGTCGCTTCACATATAGCTTGGGAAGCACATAAGCATCAAAAACATTCACTTTGGAAATGACCCTGATAGCTGTGGCCTCCATTGTGTTTCAAACCAGGAACTTCTTAATGGCCTTGACATTGGGCATGCAACAAGGGTGGTAAGGGCAGGGAATAGGCTGCATGTGGCCACAGCCCTTAATAGCAAGGCCATTGTTCCTTCTTTTCTTTGTCATCTTAGAACTGAAAGAGCGGGACTGATGCCATGGCTCACTTGGTTAATCCTCCGCATCCCATATGGGCACCGGGTTCTAGTCCCGGCTGCTCCTCCTCCGGTCCAGCTCTTTGCTGTGGCCTGGGAGGGCAGTGAAGGATGGCCCAGGTGCTTGGCCCCTGCACCTGCGTGGGAGACCAGGAGGAAGCACCTGGCTACTGGCTTTGGATCGGCGCAGCGCCGGCCTTAGCGGCCATTTGGGGAGTGAACCAATGGAAGACCTTTCTCTGTCTCTCTCTCTCTCTCTCACTGTCTGTAACCCTGTCAAAAAAAAAAAAAAAAAAAAAAAAACACAAAACTGAAAGAGCAGAAGAGGACATTTTCATCAGCTAATGTTCAGTTGTGGGAACTGAAGCTTTACTCTTATATCTCAAAATAACCCTAACCCCCTTAATTCTCTAGCCTTTTTCCACTTTAGATTCTCATACAGTTTTTATAGCTATCTGAAATTCTGTATTTTTATCCATCTTCCTCAGTATACTGTACAAGCTTCACAAGAACTATAACTAATCTGACTGGTTGACTGATGTATTTCCAATGCCTTGAACAGTGCCTGGCACATAGTAGGTGCTTACTAATATTTGTTGAATGAATAGACAGATGATGTAAGTAAATATAATAGGGAAGGTGGATGAGCTTAGTTTTATTCACTTTGAATCGCAAACATAACTGAATTCCTCCAATGCTTGCCATTTATCTTCATTCAGACTGTAAGAATGTCACCTATTGCTGCCTTTAAATCTGGTTAATGTTCATAACCATTGTGGTAAAATTTGTAAATGCTGATTTCTTTAAATGTATCCTGAATTCTTTTAGTTACTGAGTGTCATGCTATCAACTTTTTTTAATGATTATTTTGTGTTAATTATTTGAGAAACAGAGAGAGAAACACAGAGCTCCCATCTTCTGGTTCACTCCCTAAATGCATGCAACAGCTGGGGTAAGGCCAAGCTGAATCCAGGAGCCAGGAATTCAACTGCTGCTTTGCCCAGGGGTGGCAGGGACTCAACCCCTTGAGACATCACCTACTGCCTCTCAGAGTGCACATTAACAGGAGATGCAATTGGGAGCAGAGCCAGGACTTGAATCAAGACACTCCAATACAGGAGGTGGGAGTTCCAAACAGCATTTAAATTGTTAGGCCTACTGCCACCTACCCCTCAGTTTAAAATGAAAATACTAGGGCCAGCATTGTGATGGTGCAGTTTAAACCTCGGCCTATGACACCAGCATCTCATATGGGTTCCATTTTGAGACCTGCCTGCTCCACTTCCAATCCAGCTCCCTGCTGATGTGGCTGGAGGGAGGACAGTAGAGAATGGCCCAAGTGTTTGGGAACACTTGGAAGAAGCTCCTGACTCCTGGCTCCTGGCTTCGGTCTGGCCAAGTCATGGCTGTTGCTGCCTTTGGGAAGTGAACCAGGGAATGGAATGTCTATCTGTCTTTCTCTCTTTCTCTCTCTCTCTCTTTCTCTCTCTCTCTCTCTCCTCCTTTCTCTGTAATTCTTCCTTTCAAATAAGAAAAAAAAAGAAAAGAAAAAAGAAACACGATGACACTGGAGTGGCCGAGGTCAATACCTTAATTAGGCCTAAGCGAAGAAGACATATGTTAGACTGGCTTCTGATTATGCTGCTTTGGATACTGCCAACAAAAATTGGGATCATATAAAAATCAAGTCTAGCCAGTTAATTCAAAATACATGCTTTCTCACCTTAAAAAAAAAGAAAAAAAACTAAAAGATTTTAAAAAGGAGTGGAAAGGAAGTCATCTTTAGTACCTGACTTCTAACTAAATTACTAAATTTGGATCGAGTTGATTTCAGTCCAGATTAAGACATTGACAAGAAATTGATTTTAGCACATGTCATAGTACTAGTCTTTTTTTTTTTTAATAAAGATTTATTTATTTATTTGAAATAGTTACACATAGAGCGAAGGAGAAGCAGAAAGAAAGAGAGAGAAAGAGGTCTTCCATCTTCTGGTTCACTCCCTAGTTAGCCTCAACGGCCGGAGCTGAGCCATCAGAAGCCAGGGGTCAGGAACTTCCTCCAGTCTCCCACGCTGGTGCAGGGTCCCAAGGATTTGGGTCATCTACTGCTTTCCCAGGACATAGCAGAGAGCTGGATCGGAAGTGAAACAGCCAGGACTCGAACCAGCACCTATGTGGGGTGCCAGCACTCTAGGCGGCTGCTTTTCCTGCTACGCCACAATGCCAGCCCCTAGTCTTTCTTTTTACTCTCATTTGTTTGCATTCATCTTAGAAATAGGGGAAGCAATTTTTGACTATTACTAGGACTTCCCTTTATTTTTGTTTTATTTTCACTGGGTAATTCTCAAAGTCCAACATTATCTTTTGATGAACAGTCACTTTTCTGTTGAGATAAGATCCATCATGGTTTATTCAAGTTTGCATTGACATATTGCTTTATTCTATCAAAGCCTATTTCAATCTTCTGTTTGCAAACTGTATAAATATATGTGCACTATTTTCACTCATTCACATATTTACCAATTACAAAATGTCAATTAATGAAGTGATGTTATTCTCCTTCAGGAATGTGCCTCACCTTAAGAATAGACATAGGTTTAAAATTCCCAATCAACTGCA